CTAATATGGAACCTATTTTAAAATCTTGCCTCTTTACCTAAAATTCTCTTTCCATTTGAAAGTAAAGAAGCAAAACTATGATTACTGTAAATGTAGTTTGGCGTGTCTTTTAAATTTATCTTTCAGAAGAGCATCACATTTGGTCATGTGAATTATTTTATATTATCAAAATTTTGTAATATCTAATTAGATGTAGTAGTTTGCTCTCTCCTATTCCTTCACATTCCATGTGGTTCAGATCTTAAAGACACTGAAAACATCCAATGGAAAACTATGAACAGTATATGGAGGAAGAAAACAGAATAGATGAGTCCCAGAAAGAAAAAGTGGTGGGATATCCAGACCCTCTACCAACAGAAGGAAACACCCCAGTCTCCATGCTACCTGGCTGATGGGAGCCAAGAAAGACAGTCAAAATCAGTTCCTTCTGCCCTCAGGTTAAACAAGAGTGTACCTACAACAGCAGGTAAGCTGGAGAACACAGCAGGGAGATCAGCTGAGACCCCGACTGACCATGAACGCTGACCTTCCTCACCTAGCCCAGAAGTCCCTTCTCCAGCTTAGTGACTGGCCATGAAAATACCCACTGGGAACCCTGTGTCAAGACTGCTCGGTGTGTTGAAAGACCTGAGGTTTTCAGGCTTCAGGCTGAATACCCCGGTGACTCCTGAGCTCAATAACCAGACAGTAGGATGCAAACTGCAAGAGGTTTATTGTTTACACAGACATCTGTGGGCGATTCAGCAGCTTAGCTAACTGAATGCGCCAGGCCCTAGGACAGTTTTCTTTTCATATACGTACTTTTGGCAAGCAAAGTAATGGGGCATTGTAATGAGTGGAGCTACTGCAGGTGCAGATCTGGGCAAGCAATAGGGGATTGTCAGAAGCACTGGCAGAACTCATCCTCCCTGGAGAAACCACAAGGTCAGAATTACACTATTCTCTACAGCCTGCTGGTTTCCTTCCTTAGCACTCTGGACCCAAGGTTCTTTCTAATCAGACCTGGTTCCCTGCCTAGGGGAAGGGACCTTGGGGAATTTTCCGCTGAGGCGACCTTCTGAGTCTCAAAAAAGGAGGGTGTATTGAGGTTTTTCAGTGTGAAATACTTACCATCCACTTTCACATCAGGAGCACCTGAGAGCACATATGCAAATCTGAATGCACGTGGAGCACAGCTTTGAACGAGTCCAGAGTGGCGTTCCCACTTACCGGGAGAAGACTGAGCATTTAGGCGCTGGGGTAGACAGATGTACAAAGTTATCAATGAGACATGTTCCCCCCTGAGGGTTCCCTCATTTTCCCAGTGAAATAAGATGGAAGGTAGACCAAGATGCCACTAGAGAGGAGATGACTGAGAGATACAGAATGACACTGAACCAGAGGAACATGAACCTCAGAGGTGAGCTGAGTCCCCTTCAACTGACAGTTCCTCCCTAGAAATCTGCTGACTGCACCTGGGACTTGTTGCTAGCGATACATGCACATTTTCTAAAGACTTGACCCTGTCCCCTCTCATTTTCTCCAGGTCTCTTGCATAACACCAACCCAGCCTGAATTAAACCTGCTTCGCACATGTTATTATGAATACCAAAAACTCTGCATGGTCAACTGCTCTGCTTGGGGGTGGTCAGGGGTTGAAATCAAATGATACTGTGCCTAAGAGGAAGGAATATAGGCTTTGAATGGCGTAAATGCATGCAGGACTGCATGCGACTGGAATTAAAGATTTAGTGTGCTGATCTGGGCATTCACAAGAAGACTGTAACACAAAGAGTAGGAATTGTTGGCTACTTCTTGACAAAGCTCTGATGGTGTACAAACCTCTCGCAGAGAACCCAGAGCTTTCCTTATCCAGAGAATAAGATAGGCACTGTTTGGAAAAGATAACATCATGCACTCAAATCCTGAGCACAGGTGTGCTTTGTCAAGTCCTGATGCAGCAGGGTGCAGTAACAGGCCCAAGTTCTCTGTGAACATAGTGAGACTCCAAGGCAATTGAGGTCAGGAAAATCTTGGTCTTGGTGAGAGCTCGTCAGTCCCACCATGCAGCTTCCTGTGACTCCAGGGACTAGCAACAACCGTTTTCCCTCCCTTACAGGTCACCCTGTATCTCCTCTGACCAGCTCAGTAAAGTGTAGTAGTATCGTGTTAGGAGCCTATGCAAAAAGAAATATCACATGGTGATGCAGGAAATTCAATAACAGGGAGGGGACAGTCTTGTTCTTTTATCATGACCTACTCTTGGAGAAACAAAAAGGCATCCCACAAGATCCCCATGAATCTCCTCTAAAGCCATTTCCCCATCACCAGGCCCTGCTCCTTAAAGGTTTTAACATCAATTGACAATCACCACAATGGGCGTCAAGCTTCTAACACAGGGATCCTGAGAGGGGGAAAAAGAACCATCATATCATAAACAAACCATAGCAGAAGATAGTGTGAATTAAATGGCTAGAAGTACAAGACATGCTAGATATAAAGAAATAGCGTAGCTTCCAATGGTCAGGTTGGGGTTGGAAATTAGAAGTGACATAGAGGGAAGGTTGTAGTAGCCAAAGAAATCAGAAGTTGAATTCTGGGGAAGCCTGAAGGGGTCTGAGAAGAGGATGGAGAAAAATCAGCCATGAGACCTGGAAGAACAAGACAGAAAATTGAAGGAACTGAGGAGACCATGGCTTGAGCTCTGATGGAGAGAGCAGAAGAAAGCAGGAAGCAGTGTGGAGAGCAAGGACATCAAGGCCACCTCCTGGCATGCATACCCACGGGGACAAAGACAATGCCTTCGGTGAAAGGACAGGAGAGCTCGCCTCCCATGAAGCCAACAGGAAATACAGATGGCCAACCAGGAGGTACTTTTCCTTGTGGGTCAATCAGGTACCTGAGGTCAGGTGTAAATATGCAGACACATGAAATATTGAGACCAGATTTTTTTAATTTTTAATTTTAATTTTAAATAGCTTGTTTTACATGTCAATCCCAGTTCCCTCTCCCTCCAGTCCTCCCGCACTCCCCATCCCCCCAGCCTCCCACCCTATTGCCAATTCCTTCCATATAGGGGATATCTAGAGTCTGTCATTTCACTCAGGGTAGGGTCCAGGCACTCCCCTAAGAGTCCAGGCTGAGAGAGCATCCCTCTTTGTGCTATGGGCACACGATATCTGTTAGTATGACAGGGATAAACACTGATCTACTATCCAGGGCCCCAAAGGTTGCCCAGGCCTTCTAACTGACACTCACATTTGGGGGGTCCAGATCAGTCCCATGCTGGCCTCCCCACTGTAGGTTTGGGGTCCAAGAGCTCTCCCCTGTTCAGATCAGCTGTCTCTGCTGGTTTTGCCAGCCCATTCTTTGCCAATTTGCTTATCACTCCTCTCTCTCTGTCACTGGGTTCCTTGGGTTCAGTTCAGTGCTTAATTGTGTGTGTTTGCCTCTGCTTCCATCAGTCACTGGATGAAGGCTCCCAGATAGTTATAGACATCAAGTTCATTATCAGGAATGGGCATTCGAGGTGGTCTCTCCACTATTGCTTAGCTTGCCAATTGATGTTATACCTTTAGATCACTAGAGGTCACTCTGGTGCCTCATCTGTCTTCTAACCTATGATTCCCTCTTCCCCCTATTCTACCCCCACCCACTCAAACTTCCTGTTCACCCATGACCTACTCCCTTCCTCTTCACCCCCTCTCTTGTTCCCAGGTCCCACTCCCCATATGCATAGTACCCAAGAGAAGAGGATTGAGACAAGATCCTCTGAATGGAGGGGGAACACAGCGGGGGTGGGGTGGTGGGGGGGGAGGGGAGACCAGATTTTTAAAATAAAAATGTGATGCATTCTCCCTACCACTGTTTCCAAGACAGCCAAAGATAATTCATGACACCAAAGGAATCATATGTATAAAGGAGAGACATTCCCACAAGTAGTGGCAGTATTTCAGGCAGGAGGAAGGTTGCCACTTCATTAATACATGTTCTAATTTCTAGGAGCCTCATCCACCCTGGGAGTTGTCAGCAACAGAAAATAGAACTGGAAAGGTCTCCTACAGGGCCGGATGGCTCAACCATTAAAGGCTAGGCTCCCAACCAAAAATACAATGCCTCCTACGTAGCCTTCCTTAGCTCTCTGAGCTTGTTAATCCTTTTTAAATTAGATGCTGTTCTGTGTAGAGTCTTTGGTGGACACCTTCATGTCTCATGGTTAGACACAGACAGCTGAGAACTCTGGTTGTGTCTCTGGGGCACAGCCGGGGCACTCAAAAACAAAGCAGGCAGACATCAGCTCAGGCACAGGCTCCCTCGGGCTTCTCGCTGTCATTATTTCTCTGACATGGGATGGTACACAAAAGAACCACAGCTTAAAATGTTGCTGAGTAGCTGGAGCCTCACAGGGAGAACAGGAACATCAAGCTTCCATGTAAGTGCCCGAAATAGCATGTGCCATTTTTAAAATGAAGACTTATTGTTCTAGGCTGTTAATGTAAAAATGCTATTTAAAAGTCTCTTCTAGACTTCTGCAAATCAAATCTCTAAACTGATCAAGACCCACTGAATCTGGGTGTCAGTGAGGAGGCCTAGGGAATCTATTGAGCCTTGGGCAACAGATCAGTACCCATCCCAAGTATACACACGGAATTTGGACTCCCATAGAACAATGTGAGGTGCACTCTCACCCTGAATTCTTGGGGAAGGGTCTAGGCTCTGCCCTATATGAAATGACAGACTATGCACACCCCCATGGAGGGCCTCACCCTCCCTAGGGGAATGAGGGGATAACGGGGGTAGGGGTGGGGGGAGGGCAGGGCGGAGGGGAGGGAATGGGAGAGGGACCTGGAACTGACTTGTGAAGCAACCTCGTTTCTTATCTAAATTTAAACTGGAAAATAAAAAATATATATATAAAAGTCTCTTCTAGACTTCTGCTAATCAAATCTCTAGACTTTTAAATGCTAATTTTAAAATTCCAGAGGAAATAAAATGAAAATGAATAAAGTACAGTTTGATGCCATCTAAACTACCATGGCAGATAAATTACAAAAGATTCTGTCAAGGAATTCTTTATTTTTTAAATACACAAAACATTTTCTTAACAGTGGTATGTCTCTCCCCAAAAAGAGACATATTCAAGGGGTACACAAACTAAATGGTGACTATTTTTAAATGGGGGATTACATTTTTTAAAAACTGCATTTATTCTTAGAACTAACAATTAAAAGGCACAACTATTTGGGAGAAATTGTGCCATCTCTTGAATAGAATTGCAAGAAATGCTTCTGAAATATACATATTTTCTGTAGGGAATCTTGATAAGTTAACTTGTATTCCTCATGTTTGGTTTGCAGGGAGAAGACAGTGTGGTTTCCCTTCATCCACCTGAGCAATATCGTTTTTGAAAAAGCTCTGTTTCCGTGTGTGGTATGGTGAGCTCATTTTCTTCTGCAGAGGTGTTGTTGGGAAGTCTCTGGCTGATACAGGTGATGCTCAGGTTTCCCTCGGTCTTCAGATGATGACTAGCTATTAATTCCATCCCACCACAACATGAACAATTAGAAGATAGCACATCCCTATGGTTCAGGACATGAGCATCATCGGAAAACCCAACTTGAAAAACAGAGAGACAGTTATGGCCTCTGGTTTCTGGAGAGAAGTATAAGATATAGACTTTTTATAAGTTATGTTATGCTATGTCATGTTATTGCAAAGAATATAGCCCCAGAAACTTTGTGTAAGTAAAAATTGATCTTTCCTTCAGGTTGTCAATATTTTGCCATAACTCATGTGGCTACATCCTGGAAACCTGACTCAGGCAGTGAGGGATTGAACTGATGGAGTTGTAATATCTTTATCCTATCTCTACAGTTCCTTAAATTTTCAAAGTTTTAATGTATACTGTGTATCTCTACATTCTGTGTCCCAAGGTTTACACCCATTGCATAGAGTTGCACTTGCTTTCCTCTCTTTACCTTTATTTTTGTGCTTTTCATGGGAGCGTTCACTCACCTGACTAATGTGAGTTTCCTGTAGTCAAGTGACACTGTCTGGGTGCCCCCTTGCTATGATCTGCACAGTTGAGATTGACCCAACTGGGGCAATTGGGAATGAAGAAAGGATCTGCACAGATACACGTGCTGATTGAGTGGGCTGTGTGCTCAGACGGAGACACACCAGTAGTTCTATGGAAACTGTATGTGTTTACCTTACACATTTAAATCAGTGAGGCGGGATTTTTGTATACAGATGAGTCTCTTTAGGCGAGCAGTCTCAAGCTGTCAGCAGCCCAGAGTATGAAGCCTTGATCTACATTTTCTTCACATACTGCAGGCACCCACACATGACTAGGAGGAAGGGTGTGCCATTACCCTGGGCCTGATCCAGAGAAGGGTTTGTCATGTTCATGAGTCAGGAGCGCTGGGCTGTGTACACTTCAATAATTCGCATTCACTCAAGATTTCTACTTCCCACATATTTTACACAATGCCACTATCTGACTCTTTGGCATAGCACTTGTCTAACAAGTGTGAGGATCTGGGTTTGATTCTCATCATTATTTTCCCTCCAAAAACAGTCTCTGGACGTTTCCTTCAGCTGTGTCAAGTTGCAATTATCGTTCTATAGACTTCCAAGGGAACTCATATTTCCATTAATTCATAAAGTCTCTCTCACTTAAAGCAAAGAGAGGATGAAAGATAAGATTGAGAGATAAGGCCATCTCTCATCTAAAGAAGGTAACAGACAACATGGCTTTCATATGCCTTCGATGAGGGATGTGTGGGTAAGTATGCTACTCAATAAGAAGGTTATTATGAGGAATTCATGAGTTCACTTCTATAAATCCTTTAGAACAGGGTGCCACTGCACACTGAGCCCTCAACTAATGCTAGCCACTGCTCCATGCAGACATCTAACCCACATCCGTGTGACAGGGTTAGAGAGTGTTTAAGGACAGAAAAAGCCTGCCTGGTGTTTTAATATTATTGTTGCTGTAATAAACGCCATGACCAAAGGCAACTTGGGAAGAAATTATTTCATCTTACAGATTGTAATTCATCATCCAGGGAATCCAAAGCAGGAATTCGAGTCAGAGTGAGTTAAACATAAATCAAAATGGAGGAACACTGTTTGCTTGTTTGCTCCCTGTAACTTTCTCAGCTACCTTTTTATATACCCGTGCCTACTTGCCCAAGGATGTTCCTCCTACAGAGGTCTCAGTCCTCCTATATCAATTAGGAATCAAGAAGATGCACTATAGACATGTTCACAGTCTAAGAAAGGTGATTCTGTAATTGAGTCCCTTCTCCCAGATGTCTCTAATCTGTGTCAAACGGATTAGTAAAACCCATATCTTGTCAGCTTCCGCATCACTGTTAAATCCATATCTCGTCAACTGGACACATCACTGTTAAACCAGAACCTTCCCTTTCTTGTTTGTCTCTGAGATCTCGAGCTAACATTAATAGTGCAGTATAAAACACGCTCCAGCTTTTTTTTTAAAGCCCCAGAATCTATAAAGCCGTCAACACTTGAAAAGGTTAAGATCCCTTTAAAAGTGCAAGTGCTTTAACTGTGAATTCCTGTGAAAAAAAAAAACGAAAGGTAAGTTACACACATTTCCTATTCCAAAGGGGAGGATCCTGGATGTAAAAATAACTATATTCAAACGAAACACAAACTCGGCCGTGCGACTCCAAACTCTGCAGTTCTGCGTCTGACACCAGGCACCTACTCGTGGTCGTCAGGGCTCCACGGGGTTTGAGCAACCCTTCTCTAGCTCTGCCATCTGAAGCCACACACAACTGGCCCCTTTGACGCGGGAGACAGACTGCTCTCCACACATCAGCCACTATCCTTGGTGGTGCCCCCTGTCCTGGGATCTGCAGTACCCCAGGGACTCCACCATAATGGAGCTTGACCTTCACTGATGGCTAGCCTTAGCCTCACTTTAAGGACATCAGCCGTGCCGTATGATGCCAAGCCTCAGCTGCCCTCCATAGCCCACTTTGTGGCTTCAAAACCAGTATAGTTGGCAGCTGTCCTACACTATTGGCCAAGCTCTACTGCCAGCTTGAAATCTGCTGCCTTGGTCCCTCTGAGCCACAGTTGACCCTGAGGTAATACTTCCTTAGAAGATCTCACCTGAATGATGCCCATCTCTTACGATGCGCAGCTGATTCCTCGGGCCTAGCTGACTTCATCCTTTGTCCCAGTAAAGTAGAAGACCTAACTTCCACATTCAATTTTTACTATTTATTTGCTTTGACTTTTTATGTGTATGTCTGTGCAGCACCAAGAGCGTTGGAACTTCTGGAATTGGAGTAACAGAGGTGACTGTTAGTTGTGGCGAGGGTCCTGAGACCCATAAAGCAACGAGTGCCCCTAACCACTGAGCTGTCTCTCTAGCTCCTTCCTGCGGTTTGACACACACACACACACACACACACACACACACACAGAGAGAGAGAGAGAGAGAGAGAGAGAGAGACAGAGACAGAGACAGAGAGAGAGACAGAGAGAGAGAGACAGAGAGAGAGAGAGAGAGCCCGGACAGAGTCTGCTTCCCTGCAAAACATTACCCACCAGGCCTCCACGGCCCACATTGCTCTCCGCATTCCTGTGCCTAAGCTCCCACAGAACAGCCCACTGAGCCCCGAGTGCTTAGTGAGTTCTCCAGCCCCGCGTTCCGGTGTTTCATCACCTCTCCCAAACGGCAGCACAACGCTGCACTCGGTTTCTGTCCCTGGTCTTTCGGTGCTTCTCTGCTCTACGCTGTGATAATTACCAGGTCCTAAATAACTGGAGGGGGAGCGGGTTTGTTTCGTCTCACAGCTTATAACCCATCATGAACTCAAGGCAGGTGACTGAAGTAGAAACCACAGAGGAAAAGGTGTTTGCTGGTTTGTTTGCCCGTGGCTTGCTCAACTGTCTTTTAAAATACCTCTTAGGACTATTGGCTTAGGAGAGGTACACCCACATTGAGCCAGGTCATGTTAGGTCAATTATCAATTAGGAGAATGCCCCCCTAGATATGCCTACGGGCCAAACCGATGGAAACAATTTTTCAACTAAAGTCCTCCTTTGCTGGGTATCTCTAGTTCATGTCAAGTTGGTAATAAAACCTAACCAGTGTAGACAGGAACATGAAATGCTTTTGACAAGGGAAAACTTAACTACACAATCCACAGCAGTCTGTTGGAAAACAGAATGTAATGACGTTATTCTCAAAAACTATAAAACAGGTTCCTGGTGCTGAAGCAAGTTATATTTCTTCCCATCCCCCACCATTCCAAACACAGCCAAGACTCTTGGGCATTACATAAAACAAAGGAGAATCTCTTGATCAAATTGGAAGCATAGGGAGGGTCGTGGGTAGGGAGGGAGGAAAAAGAGAAGGGTATAAGACGAGGAGGGGAGGAGAACATGAGGGATCAGGAAAGTTGGGTTGGGGGAAGAATAGAGGAGAGCAAGAAAAGAGATACCATAATAGAGGGAGCCAGTAGTGTAGGTTTAAAGAGAAATCTGGCACTAGGGAAAATCCAGAGATATACAAGGTTGACCCCAACTAACATTCTAAGCAATAGTAGAGAAGCTACCTTAAATGCCCACCCCTGATAATAAGACTGTCGACTACCTTATATGCCATCCTAGAGCCTTCATCCAGTAGCTGATGGAAGCAGAAGCAGATACCCCACAGGTAAGCACTGAGCCAAACTCCTGGAACCCAAGTTGTAGAGAGGGAGGAGTGATGAACAAAGGGGTAAACACCAGGCTGGAGAAACTCACAGAAGCAGCTGGGGAACAAACATTGGACCAACTAAGCCCTCTGAATGTGGGTGTCAGTTAGGAGGCCTGTGCAGTCTATAGGGCCTCTGGTGGTGGAACCAGTATTTATTCCTAGTGCACAAATGGACTTTGGGAACCCATTCCCCATGGAGGGTTACTATTTCAGCCCAGATACACAGAGCGGGATCTATGCCCTCCCCAAAATGATGTGACAGACTTTGATGATTCCCCCACTGAAGGCCTCACCCTCCCTGGGGAATGGATGTGGGTTAGGATGGGGGGGTCGGTGAGGACCATAAGACGATGGGAGGGAGAGGGAACTGGGATTGATATATAAAATAAGATTGATTCTAAATTTAAAAAACAAAAACATGGCATGACAGTGAGTTGCCTTCCCTCATCTTCCCTGTATCCTTCTGAGAAAATGACACATGGGAAACTCAAGAGACAGTGGGTCCCCAAAAGAAAAGGGGCGCCATGGAAAGCCTGCTCTAGTCAAAGAAACAGGAATGGGGAGGAGAGGTAAGCAGCAGTAACTGTACGTGGTAACGGGTGAGATGATGACATACAGGCAAATACTAAAGGGAATTGATTAATTAATAAAAACTCCATTCTACCTCTTTGGCCTCAGAGAGAGCCAGGACATCTGCCTCTCTGTACTGTGCCGATTTCTCTTCCTGTGGAGTCAGTGGAGAGGCATAGGGAGCCTGGACTTTTACTCCTGCTTAGATGCCAAGAGGTCTGTGGCTTCCAAGCTTGGGGGCTTGAGAGGGGAACTTGGAGAAGCAGGGTCTCCAAGTAAAGGAGCACCAGCAGGCAGTTGCAAACACACTTGAAACAAGTGGGGAAAATAGCATCAGAAGAGCAGCAGCACATACAAGATGGACCTTAAAACTGAAAGGCATTAGTTAAGTCAGGGACAACTGATGGCCGGGGTAATGTAAGAGGAAGTGTGAAGGAATGGTCCACAAACAAGAAGACACCTGGAACAGAGGACTGGAGAATCACTCACCAAAGAAAAAAACCAGGCTGCCAAAACTGAAGCACAGAGCCTTGGGACCCCACAAGAAAAAGGTCTAACTTGTGTCACCAGAAGGAGAATGAGGGGAGAGAAGAACAAAATATTTGAAAAAATAACAGCTGAAATTTGCATCCCTCCAAAAGCAATGGTTCTCATCCTATGGGTGGAGATCCTTCTGGGGGTCAAATGACCTTTTCGTAGGGGGCTACCTAAGATCACTGTAAAACACAAGTATTTACATTATGATTCATTACAGTTGTGAAGTAGCAATAGAAATATTTTTATGGATGAGGAGGTCACCACAACATGAGGAGCTGTATTAAAGGGTCACAGCATTAGGAAGGATTTAAGTCCGGGGTCCTTCTCTAGGCTCTGAAATCCTCTGCTAAATGTATGATGACAAATTAGACTCTTGAGTATGGTAAGAATTCTTAAAGCTGTAAGAGAGAAATGACAATGTGGCTATAGTCAAAATGTGACTTTTCTCACTAGCGGGTCAGCAGAAGCAGAACATTACAGATCTCATTCACAGAAGAAGGGAAACAAAAAGGGCATCATTTGACAAGAACTCTCCTAAAAGGAGATCTTCCAACATCAGGAGACGATGCCAGGAGAAACTGGGGACCAGCGCAGAAAATAAACAGACTCTACAGCCCTTCTCTTCAGTTTTCAAATGGTGTTGTGTGGTTGAAGAAAAAGATGTGAGTAGCCAGAAAGCAGTTTAACTGTTTAAGCACAAAGAAAGCTTAAATGTTTAAGGTGATGGATTATACCAACTACCTCAATTTCATCATTATGCGATACATATACCCGTGGACGCACAAATGTGCTCAATTGTACATGTCCATTGAGAACTGGATGAAATTGGAAATCGGTCTATGGATACATCAGTGGTAGAACCCTTGTCCATCATGCACAAGGCCCTGGATCCAATTTTCAGCACTAAAACAAAAGGTGACAGAAACGAAGCTAAGATGCATTACTTTGTCTGACGTGATTCTCAAAGAACACACAGGAATATTTAGAACAGCTGTGACTCAGATGTGAGTACCAAGAGATGTAAGGGAAGCTAGGTTTTTCACATGCTCAAGCGGGAGCAAGAGTTATGCATCAGCTGCTGACGACGTATAAGCGGATGCATGAAGAAGCATGGAGGAACCCCAAGAAATGGCATGTAACCCACCAGAGAGCAGTAAAGGAGATGAAGGAACCAACAGGAGAAAAACAACAGAAAGCAAAATTAAAACCACATTGCAGCGCTACCAGTCGCTAACTGCATTAGGTGTGAAAAGCCTAACTATGCTTATTAGAAGCATAGTTTAGAGAGTAACATTCTAAAAGCTCTACATCCTACCTATGTGAAACTCCCTTCAACTATAATGGCGTGGACCGACTGAAAATAAGAGAATGTAGCAGGGAAACCATGCAAAGATTAACGAGAGGAAAAGAGTGGCTATATTCATGTCACGTAAACTGTAATTGGAGCAAAGACAACTTAGCAATGAATGTGCAGAAATTGTGACTAAAAGCTCAACGGCAGTTGAGACTCACTCCAAAGTTAAGAAAATACTGAGCCTTACTGGTATCAGCAGCAACAGCAGGCTGCATACTCTTTTCAGCATCCCCGAACAATTTCCCAAGACAGATAACACCCTGAGCCACAAAATAAACCTCTTGAGATTTAAAATAATCACTACTGCACTTAGTTCTGGCCATATGCAATTAAATTATAAATCAAAAGAACAAAAGTTTTTAAAAAAATAAAAATGTTCATGTAGCTCGAAATCAAAGAACTCACTTCCATACTCCCTATGCAAACGTGGTGTTTTACAGAGAAAAACCGAAATGTGCAGAACTGAATGAAAATGAGAACGGCACATATTGAATGGGAGTTTATAGAACTCAAAGTTCATTTTTTTAATCTTTACTCTTTAAGGTAATACTCTTTTTTGTTTATTTAAAAGCATTACTTTTCATTTTACATACCAATCTCAGTTCTTCCTCCCTCCCCTTCTCCTGCTAACCCGCCTCCCCCCATCCCCACCCCTCCATCTACTCTTCAGAGGGGATAAGGCCTTCCTTAGGGAGTCACCAACGTCTGACATTCCAAGTTGAGGCAGGGCCAAGAGCCACCCCTAACCACAGTATAAAGGTTGAGCAAAGTATTTCACCATGGGGAATGAGCTCCAAAAAACCAGTTCATTCCAGCCCCCTCCCCCCAACCCCCACGCATCACATAGGGTATATTTTGGTCCCATACAGGTTCCCCAGTTGTCAGTCCTTAGACTGTGAGCTCCCACTAGCTCGGGTCAGCTGTCTCTGTGTTTTTTCCCACCATGCTCTTAACCACCCTCCCTTGTTCATGTGATCCCTCTCTTCATCTGAACTCCACGAGCTCAATCTAGCACTTGGCTGTGAGTCTCTGCATCTGCTTCCATTAGGTACTGGATGTAGGTTCTATGATGACAATTAGGGTGGTCACTAATCTGATTACAGGGGAAGGCCCATTCAGGCACCCTCTCCATTATTGCTAGGAGTATTGGC